CCCGGGCGCCATCACGGCCCTCCCTCCCTCCGTCCCCGCTCTCCACGGCGCAATCTCGTCCTCCTGGGGACTCCACCGCCCCCCTCTACATCGCCGGGGACAACCATACCTCCCCCCTCCGAGCCACTCCGTACCGGCCCGGCGCTGCTTCCCCTGACCCGGAAGCGCTCGGGTTTCACTTCCGGGGTGCCCACCTCCCTAGCAACGGCCGGCACTTCCGCCTAGCAACCACGGAGGGTAACGCCTTCCGCGGGCCGCGGGCAGGGCTGAGGCCTCCCTTAGAAACAATTGCAGGCTGATAATTATGTGCCGTTTCAAGCTGCGGTGTATTTGGAAAAAAAAAAAAAAAAAGTACATTTAATGTATTTGAATTTCAGTCGACAGTTGTAACACTGACACGTGTGGTTTCTTTCTCAACAGAAGCTGCGGTTTTTAAAGTGGCTTTCATGCTCCCAAATAAAGACAAGTACAGTAAGAAGCTCTGGGTAGGTGCTAGTTCCTTTTGTAAAACCGAGTGTATGGGATGCAAACGGAGGAAATCTATGCCAGTGTCAGGGGGAGGGTTACATGAGGAACAAGTGGCCCCAAAGCTGCGCAGCTGAGGTGGGGAGGCCCCTCTGGAGACCCACCGTGGCTGCCCTACACTGCATCCCTTCAGGTCTCCAATATCTCCACGGACAGAGACTCCACAAGCCGTCTGAACAACCTGTGTCACACCGCGGTTTCAGGGGGGGGGGGGAAATAATTAACCAGCCAAAACCGGACGATTGCCCAAGTAACACGCTGCTTTGGCTGTGTAGAAGCCCCTCCCAGACACGTGGAAGCTGCCGTGGGGGTGTTTCGTCAGGGTCCTCCTGTAGACAGCCACAGCCACGGGGGTCTGCTCTGTCCCACGCCGGCTCCCCACCTCCCTCGGAGGGGTAGAAGAATGGGTCTCTGTCTTGAAGTGAAAATACCTGTCTTCCGCTACTCTCATTTTCTAGAGGGGGAGTGCAAAAGTACACCTGAGGGTGTGCTTAAGAGGAATGGTCCTGGAGTCCACACCGGCGCCAACGGAACTATGTACACGAGCAGCTGGAAAAAATGACAAGGTATTCCTCCCTTTTAAACTTTCTCTGGGTTTGGAATGGAGCATGCCCACTGTACCCACCCTTAAAAGGACACAGCAAGGAGGGTGAGAACCTGAGAAGGATCAGACCAGCGCTGCAGGCTCTTCTTCCATCTGGGAATCTTGTCACAGGCCAGGCTGAAGACTTGAGACGTGTGGGGTCTTCAGATGTCCTGCAGCCTCCTGAGGCTCCTGCAAGCACACTGGCTATTGCCAGCAGGCAGGCTCTGGTGAAACATTCAGGCAGTGGGGCACCGGTGGTGCCCAGCACAGCACAGTCACCATGAAAGCCCTGCATGAACGGGCTGTGCACACATAGCAGGCTGGGCATGGCACTCCTGCGTGTGTATATATGCCACACACACCACCACCCCTCTCCAACAAAACAGGGGAGCTCTGCCCATCTACAGTTACACCATTGCCTGGCTACCCTTGGTTACTCGGTTCCCCAGGAATGAATTCGTAAGTATAGGAAAATTGCTTATTTTGTTGATGCTGGAGAGGAGACAGTCCTTGAAACGAGACAAATCGGGGTCTGCAATTAGGAAACAGCGTCTTGTGGTTTTATTGGATCTAGTCTGGCCTTTTTTTCAGTGCCTTACAAAAATATTGGTGCAATGGTAAGAATTAAGATTATGGCAGAGAAGTGCTTTACAGCACAGATTTAAACCCCGAGGCATGGCTTAGTGGCCCAGGCTGAACAAATGAAAGACTTGCTTTGCCTTGATCCACAGTAAGAAATTCTGGAAAATTTAATTAACCCCTCAGGCTGTCAGGGTAGATGAGTTATTTGCAGGGCTGGGGACAGCAGTTCTGTACTGCATATATTATTAAGATCCTGTGAGACTACCGGCAGAGGAGGGGTTTACTGGGCACTGTGACTGGCCAAAAACTTCTAAGCTCTCGCCTGAAAACCTTGTAGAAGCAGGAACCTGTCTAAATCTGACAGAATAGTCATTTTCATCTGCACTATCATATCGGAATAGGATAGCAGACTCAAAGGCAGCAATCTGAAAGGATATAATGGAATGAAATAATACTGTAAGCATAAACATTAATGATTTTCTTTGTCCTTCCTCTCTCATTAAATGCAGATGAATGGTACTGGAAGGCTAGAACATCCTTCTGGGGCAGTTTACGAAGGTGAGTTCAAAGACAACGTGTTTCATGGGGCTGGAACCTACACATTTCCAAATGGAGCAAAGCACATTGGACTATTCAATGAGAACAAGTATGTTTGGAGTGGGAGAGTCATGTAGTCTTTAGTTTTGATTTCATAAACTGGAAAGTCCAAATAAAATTCACCCAGCATGGGAGTAGGTTTCTTTTGCTACCAGTGAAACTTGCACTGGGTATCTGAGATTGCTGATCCCAGTGGTATGCTTTTCATGAGATCAGTCAAAAGTCTGTGATTCATTCCTAATCAGAAGTTTTCAAGATGGTTATTCCACCCACACACTTTTTGTTACCAGGTCTCTGGGCCCAGGCAGAGTTCAGAGAAGCAGAGCAGTTCAGCCCCTTGCAGAGTTGTTGTTTCAAGCTGTCTGCCTACAGATGCATGCAGAAATACAGAGCCGATTTGCGCTGATAGTTTGCAAAGTTTGTGTTTTGAGGTAAAGTACAAATTTCAGAGAGATGGGAGAAAGTGGAGGTTTATTTTCATCACTCAGAATAAAATGTTTTACTGCCACTCATAAACACCAGCTGGGTTAATTTCTTTTGAATAAAGGTGCATGTTTTGAATTGCTAAGATACCATCTTGTCCTAAACCAAGAAGTTGATACCCACTTCATAATCCACAAAACAGATTTAATGAGAAAACTAACCGTAAAAATTGACACAAGAACGTTCATCTTTATTCTCCTTAAATGACTTCTCTGTCAAATTTGTTTGATTTAGGTTTAATTCTTCTTGGAAGTGCCTCTCCAGTCCAGTATCTGAAATAAATCTAAAATGTATGTTTGTTAATATGAGGTCTTTCATCAGAAAAAAAAGCTCTGTCTTACCCTGCTGAGCAGAAAGAATAGCTACAATAGCACTAGAATGATTTTTAAATGATCAGACACCAAATGAAATATGTATTACAGAACATACCTGGATACAAAATGGGAACCTGTATGACAAACTGAAACATTTGGGGAGAAATTAAAGACATTTATGTCAACACTTTAGAACTGATTAAGTTACATCTCTATTACAGTGGCATGTTGAAATTTGCTACAGAGCTTCTACCTTTTACTGTCATACTAAATGACAGACGCAAATTCTGCATGAAGGCTAAACCTGCAAGTACTCATCACTTCAGTGAGGGCATTCAGCAGTAGATCTCATAGGTAGCTTTACAGCCATTTTCTCTCAAAAATCTTAGGGTGATGCCTCTACCCTCCTGTGAAAACACAGCTCATCGCAAAGGGGCCTTCACAGCACGTGTCGCTAGTAGTTGCTCTGTAGAGAAAACCAGCTGGCTTGTGATTTCAACTAACTGAAATGCTGATGTAGATACACCCTCGACAGCGGAGATCCAATCGTTGCCAGCCACTGCCATCTTCACCAGTGAATTAAGACTGCTCCTTTTTGATGATGGTTTGTGACTGTTACTACGCACCACCCCCTGACAGCCTAATGCAGGCTGTTTTGCCAAATTTCAGGATTGCTGGTTTCCACCTACTCACATGAGAGAGGTGTCAGTTCACCAGATCACTGCAGCTTTCATGAGAGAACATAAATAGGCAGCACCATAGCAACTTGCTGTGACTGCTAGGTGGCTTTGTGTTTTAAGGGAAACAAATCTCCAGCAATTGATTTTAGAAGTTATTTTCCCCTCATTTTGAAGGGATGCTCATGCATCGATATTTCTTCTTTATAGTAGTTTTCAGGTATAACAATGAGCTTGATCACAGCTTTCAAAGATCACTAGAACTACGTGGTTTATGGGGACTGAATTCACATGGCAGTTACTTTTTTTACACAAGGCTGTAAGTCCTTGCACTTCATCATAACAGCATGTAGTGGGATAGGGAAAGCGTGAGACAGGATGGATTTTTACAGCAAGAAGATCACACAGGACACATCTTTAAGGTGCCCTAATGAAAGTCAGGATAAACTTCATAGGACTGAATCCCTGGTAACTTCAAATCATGACTGGGACTATGAAGTTTTTCCTGCAAAGGCTACATGTTGGGAGAATGTTAGTATAAATACAGTTTTGCAAAGAAAGGAAGATGTTCCTTGGCTGTCTAACCTGCATGCTTTGTAGGTCAAAACTTTTACAGGCTATAGCGTGGGACTGATCAGCTTGTGGATCGTTTGGCAATATAATGCCCTTCAGCCCTTTTTCTTGAAGCTGCTTGTAGGAAAATCCCTATTTGAAATGTTTTGTTCATAGATTCATGAAGTTAAACATTTTTATTTATTAAAAAAAAAAAAATATCTTTCCTAGCTTGAGCTGTTTGTTGAATTTGCAGGTATCTTTGACCCACCAAAAATGCACTTTCCAGCAAACTCCTTCAGAGTTATCATTTATTTTGTTCAATTTTGTTGTGCTTTGCTCCTGAAATAGTCAGCTGCAAAAAAGGAACGTGGTGTCCACTGTCCCTAGTCCTTGGCTTCAGAGGTAGAAGCGTCTTCTGTTAATCTACAAGCCTGTCCTTTCAGCTCCTTTGCTAGGAATCTGCATCACCATGTTTATCTGTGCTGTGCAGCAATTATACTGATTTTGGCTGTGCGCTTTTGCATTTCAGGTTTTCTGCCTGAAGGGTATCTTTGAAGCAGATCTTTGTCTTTCAGGGAGAAAATAGCCTGCCTTTTGTTACTGTTCTTCCTCCTTTACGTCTCCCGGCTCTTAGGCTTCAGAGTAACTCACTGGACTGGCTCAAACATTTTCCTGACACCCCTGGTCTTGGGTTACCTGCATTCTGCCCATGCTTTTTTGATGCCCTTTGAAGCAAAAAGCCCAGCAGGACCTCAGTGAAGAAATGGAGCAGGTATGGAGGGCTGCTGCCTCCCACTCTCTCTCCCACCTCCCTCCAAGCCTGTTTTTTTTTTTTTTTACTCAAAGGAAAATTTTCATGATCTAGCAAGCCACAGAAAATACACGAGTGCTGGTGGTTGGTGCTCCCCTGCCTTGGCTACTTTGACAACCTTGCTCTTGACCCCTGAATGAAAGAAGGGGAGCCCTCTTGGCCTTGGTACCCCTAGTGAGGCCGTACACTGTAGGAGGCTGAGGGTGTCAGGGAAAATGGGGAGGAGCTGGTCCTGTCTCCTTGTCCCCAACTGCGGGCTGCCTTGCTTGGCTGCTGCAGGAGGTACTTAAGAGCCTCTGAGCTCAGCAAAGTAGCAGAGACCCCATCAGCTGCCGGCTCTCAGCACACGGCCCCCTCCGCCTGTCCCTTCACAAGGCTTCTCACCCGCCCTTCGGAGCAGTCCGCAATTCTAATTAAAAAGGAAAAAAAAAAAGGCAGTATCATCTTCTTCCAAGCACACAGTCCTGATTTTTGCATGGGGATGCAAGGATGTGACCTGAAGATTACATAATTAGAAGGCACTTGCTATGCTTGTGTTTCAAATCAGTGATTAGCATGTGACAGTCCCGTCCTGGGAAACGTCAAGCCACCATTGCTCTCCTCTCTCCCTCCTTTCTTGCACAGTGCTAATTCCCAACTCTGGCGACTGCCAGTGCTGAAGGATCTTCAACTAGCCTGGGGTAAGTTTAAAAATGTACTCATCATGGGATGAAGAGTGGGATTAATAATACCGTTTTTCATACTATTGGAAAAAGCGAGAGCTGTAGCTATTTAATGTTGCATGGGCAGCACATAAAATGGTATTTAAAGTATTTTGCATCTTCAGTGCCCACAGTTATTTCCAGCTGATTTCTTCTAAGACTGTATATGGAGATCTAGCTTCTTAGTGTGCTGGAGAATCTTGTCAGGCTGCGTGTATAGTAAGGTCTCTAAAACACCAGGTTAAAAAGACCTTTTTTGCTTTTACCATTTAAGAGCTAAATTGAGGTCTCGTGCTGAACTGAAGTATTTGAATGACAACTGCATTAGATTTCGCTGGAGACAAAGCATGAGAGTGATGAGAGTAAATCACGGACTTTTTTGCTTTCTTTAGAGGGCTGGGGGTTGTTCACCAAGCGGGATATGTAAAGCAGCCAGCAATCTCAGCCGGCAGGACTGAGACATTCACCAGGAAGATCCTAAGCATTTATTTAGGAAAATTGTGGATGTTTTAACAACTGAAGCAGCAAAAGAGCGTATAGATTCCCTTGCACAGTTACACGTGCTGTGATTTCAGAAGTAGTACAGAACAGAAAGCCAAATAGTAAATCAAGGCTAGGCTGTAAATGCTTTACTGAACTTTGCCTGTTTGCATGCAGATGCTCGGGGTATCTGGTTGGTCTTTTTAACAAGTGATTCCCTGCACAGCTGATTGTTTCTCCCAGTTGTGCCATTCTGTGGTGGCGGTGGCGTGGGGGGGGGAAGGGGGCACTGGAAGGGTGAGCACGGTCACACAAATGCAGCGCAGGCTGCGGGACCTGCCTCCCCTCCCTCCTCCATGCACAGCTTGGTGCGGGAATCCCACCCCTCTGCTGCCTCAGCGGCACCTTGCTCTGGTATTCGACTCTCTGCCAGCAGCATAGCTAAAGAAGGCAACCCACTGGGACCTCCTCATCCATCCACACCTTCTCCCTTAGGGGATCTCACAGGCAGTGGGTGCCAACGCGGGCTTTGTCAACTTTCACACGCTGCCCACTCTGCTTGTGCAAGGCACCAGGGCACTATTCTTTGCTGGACACCAGCAGCCAGAAACCTGGCAATCACTAATGGCAGAGGTGGCCCTCAGCTTTGTTTCTTGGGCATGGCAGATTTGGCTGCTGGAGGGAAGATAGAGACAAAAGGGGAAAATACTTCCTTTCGGCATGAGGGAGGAATCTGGTGGTTTTAACACCCTGAAAATATTCTCTGGGCTTTGCTCTGGAGATGTCATTCTGGCTTGATGAGAGCTGTGGGAGGGTAAATGAGTTTTAATGCTCAGCTCTGAAGAAACAAGTACATCTTTGGCATTTCTTGTCCCTAAAGCAAGGAAGCCATTGGGCTTCAGTTGCAGACCAAGACAGTCTGCTGATGGCTTTACGTCACTAGGTGTTCAGCCTGTCCAGTGGGGAGCTCGCAGAGGAACAATAACATCTCCATGGTTTCAAACTGAAAGAAGCTTAGATATAGATACTTAGAATAGATATTAGGAAGAAATTTTTCACTCTGAGGGTGGTGAGGCACTAGAACAGGTTGCTTAGGGAAGTTTGGGAGGCCCCATCCAAGGAGGTGTTCAAGACCAGGTTGGATGGGGCTTGGAGCAAACTGGTCTAGCGAAAGGTGTCCCTGCCCATGGCATGGGGGGTTGGAACTAGATGGTCTTTAAGATCCCTTCCAACCTAAACCATTCTATGATTCTATGATCTCCTTGCTGCTACAGAAACTACCCTGTAGTGAGCTGGCATATCAGTCAAACCTTGGATTTGCTGTGGGTGGAGGCCTGAGGGTGGTTTAGGAAAGCAGCCTCATGGAGGGCTTGCTCTCGCTGCTAATGTCCACAGGCATTTGTGTGTGTGTGTATGGGAAGGGGTTTGCTGAGTACTGAGGAAAAAAAGTGAGGCGGGGGAATCCTCTTGCAGCTTTTAACTCCCTCACAGGAGCTATGAAGCAGGTGGAGGTCAGGTTCTTCCCAGAGGTGCACAGTGAAAAGGCAATGGGCACAAGCTGCAGTGAAGAGAAACCCTGACTGGACGTAAGGAAAAATATTCTTCCCCAGGGTCCTGGAGGGCCCAGAGAGGCTGTGAAGACTCCAGTGTGGGAAACATTCAGACTGGAGCTGGACACGGCTCTGAGGAACCTGATCTAGTTTGGAGTTAGCTTTGATTTAAGCAAAAAGCTGGACTAGAGACATACAGGGGTTACTACTCACCTAGACTCTGCTGTGAGCTTGTGACTTGTTCGCTGCCAGCAGAGGCGGGATTTGAGCAAGCAGCCCACATCCAGGATCTTAGGGCCAAATGTCAGTCCTATTTTCCAACCCCCTTTTTGCACCCTTCAGGAACAAGCCAGACGCTGTTCAGCCAACCCATGCTGACCGCAACCCTTGTCCCTGGTGAGGGCAGTGTTAGCAGCTTCCCCACCTGGCAGTCAGGGGGAACAGAGGACAAGCACTTGCTCCAAACCATGGTGAGGTGCATGTTTTGTTTGTGTCAGTGATGAGGAAGGACTGACTAGCTTTGGTCCGTATGATCAGCAATTCAGAAGAACCCATGAACGGGCAGGCAATG